AAAAAAAAAAAAGTAAGAACAAAATGGAAATATCAATCAAAAAGAAAAACTAAGAAAAATTTCCGGAGTTGGAAAGTACAATACCTGAAATAAAAAATATACTACAGAGATTTGAAGGCAGATTTCAGCAAACAGAAAAAAAAAGAAAAAATCAGCAGACAAAAAAGATAGGACAGTTGAAATTATTGAGTCTGTGGAACAGAAAGAAATATTTTAAAAAGTGCAGAGAGCCTAAGGGAACCATAGGACATCATTATGCCGACCAACATAAGCACTGTGGAATTCTCAGAAGAATACAGCAAGGGAAAGAGAAATTATTTGAAGAAGTAATAGCCAAAAACTTCCCAAATTTGGCAAAAGACATGAATCTAAACATCCATAGCCCCAATGAACTCTATGCAGGATAAACTCAGAGATCAACAAAGAGACACAGTTCAATCAAAATGCTGAAAGACAAAGAATCTTGAAAGCAGCAAGAGAGAAGCTGTTTGTCATATATGAAGGATTCTCAATAAAATAATTATAAACTGAATTCAGCAGCACACTAAAAGGGTTATACACCACAACAACCACCAAGTGGGAGTTATTCCTGGAAGGCAAAGATGGTTCAACATATGAAAATTAATATATGTAATCAATGTAATATATCAAATTAACAGATTGAAGAAGAAAAAACACACATGCAATCATCTGAATTGATGCAGAAAAATAACTTGACAAAATTCAACACCCTTTGGTAATAAAAAAAAAAAAAAAAAACCACAAAGTAAGGACAGAAAAAAAAAACACTTCAACATAAGGAAGCCCTATCTGAAAAAGCAACAATGAACATCATAGTTAACGGTGAGAGACTGAAAGCTTTTCCTGTAAGATCAGGAATAAGGATGCCCGCTTTCACCACTTCTATTCAACACAGTCTTTTCTAGCCAGAGCAATTTTGCAAGAATAACAAATAAACAGCATTCAAATTGGAAAGAAAAAAATAAAATAATCTCTGTATGCAGATGATATAATCATATATGTAGAACACCCTAAAGATTCCACACAAAAATTGTTAAAACTAATAAACAAACCTGGCAAAGCTGGAGGATACAAAATCTACACACAAAAATTAGCTGAGTTTCTATACATTAACAATGAACAATTTGGAAGAAAATAAAATTTTATTTATAATCTATCAAAAATAATAAAATACTTAGGAATTAAGAAGGCAAAAGATTTGCATAATAAAACTACAAATACTGCTGAAGGAAATTAAAAGAGAAATGGAAAGACACTCATGGTCATGGACTGGAAGACAATATTGTTAAAATGTCGATGCTACCCAAAAGAGTGTACAGACTCAATGAAAGCCCTATCAAAATCCCAACAATGTTTTTTGCAGAAATAGAAAAACAATCCTAAAATCCATGTGAAATCAAGGGACCCAAATATCTAATATCATCTTGAAAAAGATCTTGAATAAGTTGGTGTACTCTCACTTCCTGATTTCAAAACCTACCTCAAAAGCTACAATCATCAATGTAGTACTGGCATAAAGACAGATATACAGACCAATGCAACAGAATAGCCCAGAAATAAACCCTAGTACATACGTTGAGATGACTTTCAACAAGTAGGCCAAGACCATTCAATGGCGAAAGGACAGTCTTTTCAACAAAGAATGCTGGGAAAACTAGATGTCCACATACAAAAGAATAAAAGTGGACTCACGCCATATATAAAAATTAATTTGGCCGGGCACAGTGGCTCAAACCTATAATTCCAGCACTTTGGGAGGCCAAGGCGGGTGGATCACCTGAGGTCAGGAGTTTGAGATCAGCCCGGCCAACATGGTGAAACCCCGTCTCTACTAAAAATACAAAAATTAGCCAGGCGTAGTGGTGGGCACCTGTAGTCCCAGCTACTTGGGAGGCTGAGGCAGGAGAATCCCTTGAACCTGGGAGGCAGAGGTTGCAGTGAGCCCAGATAGCGCCACTGCATTCCCAGCCTAGGTGACAGAGTGAGACTCTGTCTCAAAAAAAAATTTTTTTTAATTAATTAAAATAGATCAAAGACCTAAATGTAAAAGGCAAAACTATAAAACTCTAAGAAGCAAACAGAAAAATGCTTCATGACATTGGATTTGGCAATAACTTCTTGGATATAACATCAAAGACATAGCCAACAAATAAAAAATAGACAAACTGGACTCTATAAAAATGTAAAGCTTCGTGAATCAAAAGACACTATCTATAGAATACAACAACCCACAGAATGAAAGAAAGTATCTGCAAATATCTGATAAGGGATTAATATCTAGAATATATAGAAAACTCTTAAAACTCAACAACAAAACAGCCAGATTCAAAAAAAAGAAAAATACTTTAATTGACATTTCCCCCAAGGATGTACAAATGGTCAATAAATATATAAAACGATGCTCAGCTCACTAATCATTAGGAAAATGCAAATCAAAACCACAGGAGGTGCCATGTTACAGCTACTAAAATGGGTATCATTAAAAAAAAAAGAAAGAAAAAGGCAACATGAGAAAATAACAGTGTTGGTGAGGATGTAGAGACACTGAAACCCTGTACACTCTTGGTGGAAATACAAAACAGGGCAGCTACTATGAAAGACAGTGTGGCAGTTCCTACAAAAATTAAAAATAGAATTACCACATGAACCACCAATTCCACTTCTGAGTATATGCCCAGAAGAACTGAAAGTGAGGTCCTGAAGGGATGTTTTTATATTCATGTTCATAGCAACAATATTCACAATAAGCTAAAACACAAAAGTAACCCCAGTGTCCATCAAAAGATGAATGCATAAGCAAAATGTAGTATATATACACAATGGAATACTATTCAGCCTTTTAAAGGAAGGAAATTCTGACACATGTAGAAAGAAATTCTACAACATGGGTCAATCTTGATGACACTATGCTGAGTGAAATAAGTCAGTCACCAAACGACAAATACTGTAAGATTGTGCCTATATGAGATACCTAGAGTACTTAAGTTCATAGAGACAGGAAGTAGAATGGTGGTTGCCACAGGAAGGCATGGAGGAGAATAAGAAGTTATTGTTTAATGGGTATAGAGCTTCAATTCTGCAAGATAAAAGGAATTCTAGAGATGAATGATGATGATGGTTTCACAACAATCTAAATGTACTTAACGCCATGGACTGTATTCTTAAAAATAGTTAAGATGGTAAATTTTGTTGTATGTATTTCCCACAAAAAACTTTTAATTGTGCTAGGGTAATTGACTATTTATGTTTTTAAAAAGTTGATTCCTTACTTGAATAGTATACTGTCCTCCACAAAATAAATCACCTTGAGATAGCTTACAGACCTCCATGTAAAAGGCAAAACTATGTTTCTGAAGAGAATAGAGATGATTGCTTTTATGCTTTCAGGTAGAAAAATATTTCTTAGGAAATAAATGGTACTATTAAGTAAAATATTAATAAATTCATTTTTATTAATATCTAAAACTTCTGTTCATAAAAAGACAACAGAATGAAAATAACAAGACAAAGTAAAACATGGAAAGACACCTGTAAAACATATGCCCCATAAAGAAATGTTATCCCTATACTGAGAAACATTATGAACTTGTATCTACAATATATATATAACAACTATGAATCAATTTTTTATATCCTGAAGAAATGTAAATGACCAATAAACACATGGAAAAGGTACTCAAGTAAGTCATGGAAATATATATTCAAATTATGAAGTAACAATAAATATCTAAGAAATTAGCAAAAAGTCTGACAATATTAACTGGTGACAAGAACACAGGGCATCAGAAATTCTCACACATTGCTAATGGGAATATAAACTGGAAAAACCACCTGAGAAATATGGTTTAACCTATAAAATTCAAATTAAATGTCCTCTATAACCTAGCAATTCCATTCTGGGTGAATATGAAGGCTTACATATACCACATAATAAAAGTGCAAAACAACACTATTCATAATTGCCAAAATCTGGCAACATGCAAATGTCTATCAGCAATAGAATTAGTATATAATCTATGCATAAAATTGACTAAAAAACATTAATGAGGCCTAATGATGGAGAACCATAACCACATAAAAATTATAGAAGCATGATGTTAAGAGGAAAAAGGAATCACCAAAGAATATTCACAGTTTGATTATATGTATTTGAAGCTAATAATTGGTAAAACTATTGTATAGATATGCATACAAGGTAGAAAAACATTAAGCAAGGTGATCGAAATTAAATTAAGTGGTCAAGAAAGGTACATTTTGCTACTTGGGAGTCTGATCAATTTAATTCTCCCAAAGATGAAGCTCAACCCAAAGATTCTTATTTCCAAGAAGTAAAAATCAATAGATAAAGCTCAATGTCAAAGGCTCTTCTGTTTACTCCCAAGAATTCAGAATAAGGAAAATCAGGAGATAATTGGTTTAATTATACCAATCAAAATTTTGTCACATTAATTCTGTCTTAATTAATTGGTCGATCTCTTCATCCTTTAAGGAAAAAAGGTAAGGCTGGGCAACATAGTGAGATCTTGTTGTTACTAAAAATTTAAAAAATAAAATTAGCTGGTATGGTGGTGCATGGCTGTAGTCCCAGCTCTCAAGAGGCTGAGGCAAAGAGGATCACTTGAGCCCAGGAGGTTAAGGCTGCAATAAGCCATAATTGTGTCACTGCACTCCAGCCTGCCTGACAGCAAGGAAAAGACCCTATGAGAAAGAAGCCTTTTAAGTGTGATATCAAATATAATAAATATAATATTACATATACATTATTACATCTTGCCTCAGCTAAATTTGTTCAAGTAAAGATAAATAAAATAAGTTTAAAAAAGACGTTTTCCCTGTTACTATGATTCCTCAGTGGCAAAATCAGTATTTGGAGGGGAAGGTGTTTCCTCAGATTATTAGGATCCCTAAAACAATTCAATAAGCAATCCCTGAATAACTGCAGTTTAGAGACCAAAATATTCTTTTATCTAACAGCTTACCGTCCACAAGCAATCTGAGTGACAATGCTTCCCATAAGTTCAAAAACTTTCCTTGGGTTTATTTCATGACTGGTAGAATTATGGCCCAACTGACCATACCCTCCAGCTCCAAAAGTAAACACTCCACCTTCCTAAAA